GGGTTTTGGAAAGGCTTGATAAGAAAGGGAAGATATTTTTAATAAAAAATTTAACCTTGTAATTTTTTTTGAAGTGAAAGAAATATAAATAGATAAGTACAAATTTTTTATTCAGGTCTTTTATTTACTTTTTATTACATTATATATCGTTCTAAATTTAAAAAGAAATTGTTCCCCCTTTTCTTTTTATTTTTCCAAATATATCCGTAATGAGTTTGAGTATCCTATTGAATTTCAAAAAAATGATACTTGCACATCTCTGGTAAACTACAAAGTGTTGTTGCATCTCTTGTTTTTCTCATAATTTCAAGAGTTTCAATCAATTTAAATACGTTAAAAAGAATGAGTTGAACTTCTAGAGTTTTTAAAAAAACTTATTAGCGTTGTTATAATTTCTATAAATAAATGAAAAAATGAGTTACATTGAACTCTTTAGTGTGATCACTGTCACTTATTCTTTATTAATAAATCGCAAATCATTTGTTACCATTCCTATTGCGTATTTCTATTGTGAACTGTGTAGTGTGATCACTTCACAAGTAAGCATGGGCAGTGATGAAAATGCCTAACACAGAGACCATACTCCTTTGAAATATACCCTTAGTTATCAGAATCATAGGAACAGACCACTGTGGTAAATTTTTGAAAATGAAAGCAAATAGCAATGTAGAAAGAAGACTTTAGCAAATGAGTGTAGGTCCTTTAAAATAAAATGGTAAAGTAACAACATAATTGGTCTATATAACAGTTACGCCGTAGAACTTACCACACCTAATTTTTTTTCTTTTTTCTTTTTTATATGAATCTGTTAAAACTGGTACCATAAGATGAGAAAGATGGAATGTTGTTGACAGAACAACGGGGATAAGAAAAGGCTCAATTTTTAGAATATAACACACTGCAGTCTGCACCTCCCAAGCCAAAAAGCTCTAATTGCCTCTCCCTTAACCCCCTTTCTTATTTATTTTTGACTAACTAACCTAACTAACTGATGGTATCTATCAGAATCTAAGTTGCTGATACAACCCTCAGAAGAGGTCAACTTAATAAATATAGCTACCATCAATCCAACTTGTTATGTGTATGCTTCACTTAAGATTAAATTTTAATAATGGTTTCCATCCGTTTCATTACATTGTCATTTATTTACTCTGTAACATGTGATTGGATAATGTTGAAAACTAACAAGTGGACAAACCATGTGGTACATTGGTACTAATAGGAAATTCGAAGGCAATTCATTAGTTCAGAAGAAGATAGGACAATTTTGAAAGACCCAGATGAGCAAGTAAATTAAATATTCAACAAAAAATGCATTTTCCCTTCTCATTAGGTACAATCTGTCACACCATCAGGTAAATTCAGCAACCTACTGCTGTAAGCATAAAAATGAATCTAAGCATGCAAAATAGTAGTATCACTACCATGTAATGTGGAATACCTGCATGCATCTGAATCTGAAGAACCAAGATGTGTCACTACCACTAGCTCAATGATAAGCATTTGAATTTGAAGAAAACCACATTCCTGAATAACTTCCCTAGCACTAGCAACATGCCCAAATTCAAATTCAACTAAACATTTCATTTATTCATTCAAACTCAACTCTAGGCGAGCCATGATGGGTTTCACTTTCATCACAACTCACAAACCAACCCATAAGTATACTCTCTCGGCAGTCAGCACCATCAACCCCCCAAGCCCTAAACCACTGGGCAGATTTGAATATGCTCTAAAACCGAAGTAGGGAAACCAAAAAGGAAAAAAAAACCAAAAAAAATTTGGACCATTTCTCGATTTGTGCGTGTCATCCTTGCGCAGGGGCCATGCTAATCTTCTCTGTATCGTTCCAATTTTATCGGATGTCCCCGAAGGGACAAGTTCTGTAGTGTCCTCATTATATATAAACACAGTAAATCATGCAAAACTAGAAGATGTGGGACTATACAGAGTCGCAATGTAAAAGTCACTTAAGTCAATTTCACCAAAAAAAAAATAAGTCTCAAAAGTTAAAACAACAGCCCAGACAGCCAGCGGTCCAACGGCCCATTACGATTCAATGAAAGTCCCTTTTTATTAATGTTATATGTTAAAATTAAATAATAATTTAAAAATAATTAAAATATTTATATTTTATTATATTTTTAAATATATATATTAAGTTTATTTTATTTTTATAAGAATGAAATATTAAATCATCTTGAATTAATATAAAATTTTGTATATGTAATATAAAGTAAGAAATTTTTAATGTAATGGTAAATTTTGAAAAATTTAAATTTAATTAAAATTTATTGAATGGTGTAATAGTTGATAAAAATTATACATATATCATTTGAACTCTCTCCTTTTAATATATATTTAAATAAATTACTTTATCTTTTCCTTTAAGAAAAAAGATATCACATTGTCTTTCTCCTCTTATGTTAAAATATATCATTTCTTGATAATAAAAAAGAGAGAACTCAATCAATATATATATATATATATATATATATATATATATAATAAAAAAGTTATTTTTAAAGTATTATAAAAAAATATTACATTAAGTACATTAATTAAATATTATCTTAATACATGTGTTTAACTTTATTATACTTATATATATATATATATTATAATTTTAATAATTAAAGATTTATTTTAAATATATAATTAATTATAGAAAATTAATCATAAATTTTTAAATAATAATTAAATATATAAATCAAGAGATAAATTACATTTTTTTTTGGCACCAAAAGATAAATTGTTAAAGTGTAATATTTATATTTATTTAGGAAAGAAAATGTTTATTTTAACACAAGAAGAGTGGGTAGTGTAATATTTACATATATGAGAGGATGTTAGTAAAAAAAATATTTTGATTATATATATATATTTGTACTAGTATCTACTTAACAATCATATGGTAATTAACACATAAACAAACACTACTTAGTGGGGTTGAGATTTTTTTGTGTGTGAAAAATATCTTTAATGTTATATTATCTTAAAATAAAAAATAATAATAAAGCACATACATCTTTAAATAGTATACTATAAACAAATAATGTCTCAATTATTTATCTTTAATTGTTCCGATAGGAAATATGAATGGATGGTTTGTTGTGAACTCAATTTCACATCAAGTTATTGCAGCTTGATTTTGACACGCAAATATGGATATAGGGGAAAACATTCATATTTACTTATTTAGATTTAACAGATTCAATGTTCTGAAAAATTAAGATCAGTTTAATAGTGAGAAATTAGACATTGAGCACATGATTTTAAGTTTAAATTTTATCATCGTTAACATAAAAAAAAAAAAATATATATATATATATATATATATATATATATATAATTCTAAAAAAACTAAATAGTTAAAATGTTAATGGTTTGTTTGAATTTTATTTTATTATTGCGTGCTCCATGCAATATTCTTGTTTCTTTAAAAAATTAAAAAACATGAGCCCAGACCAATCAAGTGAATCAACTATGCATGGCCATGGCATCTCCACATCATCACGCATCGCACCAACCCACCAAAGTCACATCGCTGTATTCTTAAATCTTTGGAAGGGTTTTTGATAGAGAAAGAATGTGACTATAAGCTAATTTTGATGGCTCAACTTTTATGCATTTGGTGGCATTCAAATTCAAAATTCATTGATAAACTATAATAGATCTGTGAACCCATTCCTCAGTAGCTGCACAATTCTTTTAAATTTAGAGTGAATTGTTCTTTAAATTTTGGCTAACTCTTCTTAATAAAAATAGTATACCTCTTATGAACAATATAATATTGTCCAAAACACTTATGCCCCACCTTTCACTCATTACAAAAAATAATAAAAATATTATGTCCACGAATGAATAGTGACCAACAGTATTCCAAAACTTCCACGGTTTGATATACGAAATATTAATTGTTTTTTTCAATTAAGTATAAAATGAAGATAAAGAAAATATGTGGGTATAAAAGAAAGTTAAAAAGGATGATTTTTTTTCTTCATTTTTTGCTACTTTTTAATTTAAAATTTCAAGAAAAATTATCACAATTTTTTTCTAGTCTAAAATTTAATATAATAACTAAAAATATTGAGAGAATTACAAAGAAAAAATATAAATAATAAATAAATGAAAACAAAAATAACATGTCAAGTCAAAACAATGCTATATAAGATAGTAATTCAAATATTTATAAGATTAGCCCAATAAAATTTGCCTAGTGGTGAGGAGGTTTAATAATAAGCGTAAAATTCTTAGTTTTACCTACATGAGATTTTTCAGGTGCTTTTGAAAACTAAATTTACTCTCAACTTTTATCCCAAAATTGTGTGGTAATCTTATGTTAGTGTGTTAGTTGTGTAACTTCAAAGATATTTAAAGATAGATAAAATCGTCAAAAAGTCAAATCTCTTAACATTACTACCAGTAATTTGTTTTTATCATCTCAACTTTATTCACTAGTGCAAATGCCAATTTGATCCACAAGTTTGTGAGGGATAATGTCAGTATTTTACTAATGATATCATTTTAAATTTATTACCGATAATGCATTCATTTAACGTGGCTAATAGAAGATAACACCCTTCTACAAAAAAAATTATAAATTAAAAGTTGTCCACCAATGACTTTGAAACAACTTAGGACATGTTTAATTTTCAGTCTAGAGATCTTCAAAAAGTTATCCTTGTGTGGCTTTTAATTAGGTTTAATTGTAAATTAAATTTTGCATCAATTTTGTAATCTGATTGAAATTAAAGAAAAGAAAAAAAATTGCTTTTCTAACTCATTCTTCAAACTTAGATTTTCAAACTTTAATCTAAACACGCACTTAATTTCTACATAATAGTTTTACCATGATCAATTATTAAAATAAATCTTTAATTTACATATTCAGAAATTTTCATACACCCTTTCCAGCAACTAATTCAAATTTTAATGGTGAGATATCCTTCTATGTTTTGGCTAAAAAGAATAATAAAAATTCTGTTTTAAGCAGTAAATTGAATATGTAACACAAACATTATGGGATTGATTATACATGGTACACAATGTTACTACTCAAAAGTAGAATGCACACAACACTACAGTGGTAAGAGAGTAAAGATTTATGTCATGGCAAATCTGTCTCAATAAGTTTCTCATCCGAACACACGAACTACATTTAATTCAAGCAAAGGTAAGTTAGTGAAACAAATTCCGCTTGATCCATCATTGATTTCCCCAAGGTGCAGCAACTGGCATTCAGCCATAGAGAGAGAGCTGTAGCAACTTCCACAGGTGCAAAGGCTAATTAATTGCATAATACAACACTTACAAGCAAAGCTCACTCTCAGACCACCAAACAATTTCTTCTTGGAAGCAGAACGGCTTAAAAACACTTACAAACACCTTGCAAATGCTACAATCCCCCATATAGCACATAATTTTGCTGTAGAGTTACCACATGAACAATGTAATTTTCGTATCATAACCGTAAAATCAATTCTTCCAAGCTCCTTTGGCAATGCTATTTGTAGCATAACTGCTACACATGACGGTTCTCATGTGTCAAACTACTACTGCTACCTCCACCGACGCGGTTTGGTTCCCCCACCCTAGCTGCCAAAGCCAGAACTTCAGGGGACATTTCCCAGCTCCCACTTTTTCTTCCCCAGCTAGATCGCCTAGGATGTATTCCGGCACGGTCCGTGTCGTCTACAGTTGTCCTAACTTCAGGAGACAACTCACCATCCTTTACAGTCACACGATCATTGTTTAATTGAGCTTCAGAATCATCAATTCCTGCACCCATGTCCCACACTGTCTTCCTACCCATCTCTATGTCCTCCCCAGCTTTTCCCATAGTTTGGTTCATAAAGCCTCCTCCCACCGATCTGGCGGGTAATACTGGTTCTTTTGGCACCATTGCCCTGAAATTGTTCTTTGATGGGGGAATGCTGATGCAGAATATCTCTCTGAAATTATTCAACACTCCTTTATTATATGGGTTGGCTCGCCTATCATATCGGTATCTGAAGTTTTCATAAGTAGTCTGCAAGAAAAATGGAGCAAATATCAAGTTGTATCATCAAAAAGAACAGTACTAGCAACACACTTTTATCAGTTTAAATTTATTGAAAACTATAAAATTAGGAGAAAAACATTAAATAGGTATAGGACCCATCAAAATTTGTATTTTCTAATAAATTATCCAATTAGAGAGTGTGTTGCTAGCATTTCTTTCATCTGAAAAGATAGCTTAAATCTAAAGCATAAGGATTGAAAAGAGTAGCACTTACCTGATTGGTACTTATCAAATATAAATGGAAGGCTGTTAGGCCGCCTACAAACCACATTGATATAAAGGTGTAAATTATTAACACTATGGAGGCTGGAGTTTTTATCATTGCCTTCCAAATTGTTGTCTCCTCTGATTCCATAATTCTTCTAATATAGACCCAGCAAAACGCAAAAACATATATACAAAGTAGCGTAGTTGAGAAGACAAACATGAAGAAGAACCGGTAGTTGCGCTGCATAACAATCATGCAAGGAATTAGGGTATACATACATATTCAAGAATGACACGTAGCAAATGATAACTGAAAAGTAATCAGAACAAAAGAAATATTGAAAATGAAGAATTCATCAAGAATAAACACAAATTCAAGCTGCAAACTGAAAAGAAAACTAAGCCCCCTATATTAAGGAATCAACTTTATAGCTAGATTATATGATGCATTACCAACTATAATAAACTTAAAAGCAAAATTACACTTAAAACTAAAAAAAGCTGGACTGAATTTTATTGTTATAAAGCATGACAGTTTTCTCCGCAGAAACCATGTTTAAAATGCAATAATTACAAACAAACAATTTCAACAAATTCAAAGCTGACTCAGAACCATCTCTGTCATAATTAATAATAGGATCAAGTTCCCCTTCCCCCAAACATTCTTCACTTGAAACTTAAAAAACACCTGGAAGACAAAATCCAACTTACCAGTCCAATACACTGCCCAACCCAAGGACAGTGATGATCAAACCGTTCCACACAGTTATTACAGATCGAGCAGTGTGAGCATCGAGGAGGCCTGTAGAGCATGCAAGTATCACAATACTTGACCTTAATAGGGATGCCATTGACCTCAACCTCCTTAAAGCGAGGCAACCGCAACTGAGGAGTCTGACCAACACCAACATCCATATTACTGTCCAAACCTTCTGGCTCCGGAGGATGTGCATTGCGTGGAATTATGCCTGGATCTCGGCCAGATGTTAACAAAAGAAGAACTAAGACCTGAGAAGATTGTAGCATCAACATAGGGTTGGAAAGAATATCTTTTGGGTGCATAGCATGGTAAATTGGTGATATGCCTCTATCTTATGACAATCACCAAACAATAATTAAGCAATAAACAAAAGTTGATAGCTGGAAACAAAGCATAACATTTTGAAAACTAGTAAACCAAACACACATGTAAGTGTAGCACAACAAAATTCACCTTTCAAAATAAATTCTTTGCGTGTACAAATAAAATTTTCAACCAACAAAAAACACTTTCCAAACTAATTTACTCCGTCAAATGCTGTATTTCATTATAGCCTCAAGAAAACTTGATTTTGATATTATACCAGAGAATCAGAGATAGTCCACCCAAGCATTTCATCAAATTGCATTGCATAAATTGATTGACACAGAATATAACAGACCCTAAACCCTAAACCCTGTAATTATAAGTTACCAGATGACACAACTCGATTATAACCATGTAGAGTTGTAGATATATTATGGAGTTACAACCACAATTCAAATTATAAAACTAAAACTGAACTGTTTGAAAGATTAAACAATTCTAATTTGATATCTAGTCAGAAATTTCCATTCAAAATTTTTAACCAAATATCCAGAGTCCAAATCCATTCGTTTAAGCTAGAAGACAAATGAATAAAATCATACAAGCAAAAGCGGTATAACTGTAAAAGTTTGGATTTTCTCTTTCAATAAAGTACCTATAGAAGATGGAGATTTGAAGAAAGTTTGGAAAAGCAGAAAAGCCTCTAAGGAAATTCAAAACTGCTTCTATATTCTTTCATTTAAATTGCAATACTCACAGGTAACAGCCAAATTACATATGGAGTAGGCTTCTAGGTGTGTGTGGTCAATATTCAATGTGTGTGCCTGTCCACAGCTTGGAGAATTTCTTTAGATATGTTTTTAAAAAAAGCAAGAAGTGCAAAGTTTTATGGCAGCACACTGTATATGCTTTGATTTGATGCCTCTAATTAAAGCTGAATATACAGATATTCAAGGGGAAGCCTCAATCCATGGACTTACTATGGATTATTGTGTTCCTGTGGCCAGAGATTTCCCCTCAAAATAGTTATGCAGCAGAGAGATTGCAGAAGTCTTTTGCAAGATCATTATTATTATTTTTCGCTACATGGTTTAAGGGGGAAGATTTCCTTTCCTCCCTTAATAAACTAAGGCCTTTCATCTAAGAAAAGGACAAAACCCATGATATTTGGCATAATCATGGACCCAACTTGTTCATTAGGATTAGGATTGCATAATTTGCATTAGCTGACTAGTTAGGATGCATTAGTTCTGCAATGGCTATGGCTAGTTTTTTTTTTGGTAAATTGTTCCAATATGAATGAAGATGATGTTAAAAAGGGCATCATCCCAGGCTGTATTTCATTGAGAAGTTAACCAAATCAGATCACTTCAATCAAGTGTGAGAGGTTGAACAACATACAGAGAAAAATATTGAGGATGAGAGATAAAGACTCACATAAACTGTGAACACAACAGCAACAGCCATTATGGATATCCCCCAGTGGTCAGAAAAATCATCTATCAGTTTTCTGGCAACAAAGACACAGAAAACTGCGACAGGAGCAACAATAAGAAAAATTGTCAGCACCAGTGATCTCACATCTGGTCCAAATATGAACCTTCCCTGAAGAAAAAATTTCTGCAAGAAAATTATCAAAGCAATGAATAAGCACCACAGTCATAAAATGGCTAGATACTGTAACATATTTCAAATAACTATGCAATTTAAAATTTTCCATTCTCTATAAAGTATAACAAATAAATTATAAAATGAAAGTTGAATGGTAAGTACATCAAGACTCAACAACTCACAGTCACAGGCCATAAGGATAAAAGCACAGGAGGAAAGAAGGTACATCATATGATGTACAGAGGCTCAAAGACAAGTAACAATCAATTTCCAGAGACCATCAGAAAATTTCTGCATCAATGATTTCTTTAGAACTTAAATTTATTCTTTGTGCTTGCCTAAGACAAGAGAGGAAAGAACACAGTACGTCAAAGAGTATAATGTTACAATTCATTTTAATTTTGCTTACTGCTTAAATTAGTTATAATAATAACATCATCCAATATTAAGATATTACATTACATACTATGCCACAGAATTAAAATAACATGTAAAGTTCAGTAATTTAAATTTATTTTTGTTCTGAGAATTTAACAGAAAGATCTCCAGCAACCATTATTTAACACATTCTAAAATTGCAGTGCTTGTGATTTTCCCCAGCAAAATTTTAGGAAGGAAAGAACTATGAAAAGCAACTAAAACTAGGGAAGCTATATGTACTGGATCCGGATCATCTGCAACTCATAAAGCACTGCAGATGGTGCAGTTAAGGATCTAACACCTTGTACCCTGTATTTTCTGTACCCCATGTTTTGTTTTAATATTTTTGTAAAAAAATATTTATAACAGTAAATATTCACTACAGATTTTTCAAAATGTAGAAAACTTTTATCTCTTCCACTTTGCCCAAAGGAAGTAAAGCTTTGAAACACTTTCAGCAACGGAGTATCAGATAAAAAGCAACACAAAAGTCCAACATACCTGAAATAAATCAGCTAAAATCTAACACATCAGTCAAAAGAAGGAAGACCAATTAATGTTGTGGTTTCTAGGGGTTTGCATCATTGGTCATTTCACTACACTGCTTCAGAACCTGACAGTAATATATCCACATAGATCCATCCATTTTCTTTGCAACAACGTTTCTCAAAGTCAGCACATAACCCTATCACCTAGAACCCCTTCCCAAATAGTAACACTCCTAACACAAAAACCCAATACCAACACAAATTAAAACAACAAAACACATACACACAAAGAAAAGGCCACAACAACAACCACTAATTGAAAAGCTACCACAAATTGAGACCCCAAAAAAGTACTTGCAAGAAAGGGAAATTTTCTGACAGCAGAACTGTGACACACACAATAAACAAATTCCACAAGCAGTTTTCTTTTCTTAAAAGTGAAACCAGACAAAACTTGGATACTGCTCCTGAAGTGTTTTTGATGTTGCTGTCCAATCACAATTGAAATTTCACCTCAATAGTCCATATTAACCCTTAATACAAACTTTATTAAGCATGTTACCCAGATAAAACTCTAATTTTGACTAGAAAACAGCAGAAAAAATACTTAAATCGCTGCATCCAAGTTTTTTTTCACAATCAGAACAAAAGTAAAAAAGCAGAACTCACATTGCTACCCTTCCAAGCTTGGTATACCCGCAAATCACCGGATCCTGACCCCGGATCGGAGCGCTGCGGCGGAGGCACCACGTACATGTCTCGGAGGCAAGAGTTTTCAGAATCTTTCTCAGTTGCAGTGGTTTAAGAAATTCAGCTCCCAAAACGGTAAAGCGAAGAACAAAAGGCGAAAACTTGAAGGGTCCCTAAGGTGCGAAATCGATAGCCATGGGCAAATTCGAACACCCTTTTGGCCAAAGTTTCCGGCGAGCTCAACGGGTCGGGTCGGGTCGGCGACAAGGCATGAGGGGTTGGTTGGGAGGGAACACAAGGTGCTGCAGTGCAATGCAATGCAAGCAAGGGTTTTTCTTTTCTTTTTTCTTTTTTTTTTCTTTTTTTTTTTCTTTCTCTCTCTAGTGATTGCTTTGATGTGTGTGTGAGCTGGTTTTGGTTATTAGCTAAACTGCTAAAGCAAGTTAATAGGGATTCTTCGCTTTAAGACAATTATTACCATGTCACTGTGTAATGTATGTTTATGTATGGTGGAGACTAAGGTTTATAACACAAGGCTGGTTTCTTACAAACATGTTAAAAAATGAATTTATGGAAAATAATTTAGTATTTCTTTTTAAATCAGAAGCTAATTTATGTTTATTTATCTTAGTAATATATGAAAAATAGTTTATAAACTTCTACTAATATATAAACTTTTAATTAACTTAGTGTTATCAAATATACTCGCATTCTTTAACTTTATTCTTCTAAATTTCTAATACATTATTATTAGTTAAAAATTGCTATAAATTAAAAAGTATATAGATCTTATAATCCTTTTAATAAACTTCATTTATAATTTTATATTTTCTAATAAATTTTAATTAAAAGTAAAAAAAATATATATATATATTAAAAATGTTGCTCATGTGTGCATATTGCATGTATGTCATTTGCTTTACAGCATCATGAAAAAATGACGTGTCTGATTCTGGTTGGGTGTTTAATGTGATAGGGCGAATGTGGTGTGGCATGGTACTCCTCTCTGCTTCTTTAATAATAAAAAAGATAGTGACCCATCTCTCATTTTATATGGCTGGGTGGCTTTGAGGGCTACTTGTAAATTTAATTTGATTATAAATGTAGTCAACACAAGACTAACTTTAAATTAATTCAATTTTATAGAAACAATTTTATTCAAAAAAAATCATGAATGGACTAATTCATATTTGAAATATATATTAAAAATAATGAGTTAATTAGGTTTCTTAATTTCTTGCAAATACAACAATATTCTCTTTTAGTTCTTATATTTTATTTAGATTGAAAAAAAAAATGAAAAGTGAGAGATATAAATTAATATATATATATATATATGTTATTTGAATTGATAGAAATGAAAAAGAAAAATTGTTTGTTTATTTATTTATATGAGTGAAAAGTGGATAGGAATAAATAATCTCATTTATTTTGTGTACTCCATATTTTCATAAATAAATGACTAAAAATATTATTTTTAGTGAATGGCAACAACTACAACTAAAACCAAATATCGAATGAAAACAAATTTTTTAAGGATTAAAAGTGAACATTTATATATTTACATAAATTTAAAATATATTTAGTTCAAAAAATTATAAAAAAATTTAAATATACTTTTAGTATTTTTTTACGGCAAAACAGCTTTTAAAAGAAATTATAAGTTTAAGATTTTATTATTTTAAAAATAAAAATGTAAAAAATATTATAAAATTATTTGTAATAAAGGCATAAAGTTCCTTAATAAAAGGATGAAGGTAGTAACAGATATAGCCCTAAGACAATGGGATTCATATTTAACTTAGTTATTAAATTTACAAATACATCCAACATTATTCATATTTTCAGACAAAGTGTTTGCATACTAAGATCTCTAACATCTCTTAAGAAAACCAAATATAAACAGGAAAAGGATAATGTTATAATTCTTACAAATTTTCTTTTTTTCGTGTAAAGAAAACATTAAATGAAAAAATGCATTATTTTAGATATTAAATTTACACAACATACATACTTTTCAGACAAAGTGCTCGCATACTAAAGATCTCTAACACCTGTTAAGAAAAAAATAAGTATAAATAGGAAAAGAATAATGCTATATATTCTTATAAAAATTCTTACAAATCTTTTTATTTTCTTACAAAGAAAATAATAAATGAAAAATAAATGCATTTAATGTATTGAAAATCTAAAATACATTTAATACTTAATGTACAAAAGAAGTAAGAGGAAAATAGGGTGTTGTAAGATATATATTCATAGAGAAAATCAACCATTATTAGTATAAAAAAACGTTTTACATAATCAATCAATTAAAAACCATATTTTATATAATTTTTTAAGTAATTATTATAGAAATTAACAAATTTTTCATTTATGATAAATTGTAATGAGATATGGTATAAAATTATTTTATACCTTTAGTTTATCATCTTTAAACCAATATATATGTATCCTGTAAAGAAAGACTTACAAACCTTTTTTCTTCTTTTTTATTATATATATTGTCGTGTTTAATTAAAATAACTTAATACATTGTTAAAGCAAATCCACAAGTGATTAGTTTAATGGTACATGTTAATCCTCTTCAGGTAAAATATCAGTTCTGAATCTTGTTCATAAAAAAGTTCTAATTTAAAATTTTAGTCTTATCATTTTAATAGATGTTCCAAAGTCAAACAGAATTGTTTTACATAGAAAATATTTCTAATTTAGAAGGAAGAAATTCTATATTTTTGTTGGTCGGGAGCAATATCCTTCAAACTATAAGTAATTACTTTTTATTCTCTTTAAAACAAATTATATAAATAACTCTTTAAAACAAATTTATGTATAAAAGTGGCATTGGTAGAACCAAATTTAATTATAAACAAGAGAAGTGATGCTGATGCAGTGAATGAGGACTTTTGGTGTAAAGCGTATCTAAGAAAGATTATGAGATTGAGACGATGGTGATGATGATTCACTTCATTTCTCTTCTTTTAAGTTAGATCGACATCGTTTAGCTATAACTTCTACCTCGTCACTATTCTCAATCATTCCTATTTTTCTGCCAAAGACAATGAAATTTCATTTATGTTTGTCTTGTTTATTTTTGCCATTTTGGTCACAAAAATATGGCAACGCATATGCATCATGAGAATAGATTTAAGATCATCACTTTATTTGAAAAAAATTTGATGAAATTAGTTTTCATATAATTATTTTTAAGTATTTAATACATTATATTTTTTATTAAATAATTAAAAGAATTTACCTGATTTTTTTTAATATTCTATAATGATACTTTTGCATGTCTTACTCTTTCCTTAAAAAAATACCTAATTAAAAAGTATCTTGAATATAACTTCTAAAATAAATATTATAAAACTCAACAAATTTTAATTATATACTAACGTGTGATTATATGTGAAATAAAAAAGTAACACATGATAATATACAATAATTTATATGATTATTCATGTGATATACGATGTATTTGATTTAGAAAATAATTTATATGATAATAATTAATACATATAATAAAAAAAATAATTATATATTTATTAGTTTAATGTATTTAAGTATATTTTTTTATAACTTTAAATTATTTATTTTTTAATTTATAATAAAAATGATTATATAAAATTTATAAGTTAATGTCTAAAATAATGAGTTTAATATATTTATTGACTTTATTATAATTAATGTATATGACACTTGTGAAAATTACTAGCCAATGCTAAATTGTTAATATGTAATATTGCCTCTATTAAAATATTAATTATTTCTTGTAATTTTAAGTTATTATCTTGTAATAATTTTATGTTATGTTATATGAAATAATAATATTATAATAATTGACTGATATTTTATTTTAACTCTTTTATTATCTACTTTTTTATTCTGTAAATATAATTATTTTAAAAAATATTATAATTCAAACACTATTTCAAGAGAGTGTTTCATTTTATTGTCATTTAAATTATAGTTTTATTTTTTTTCTTTTTTGTTCAATTAATATAGATTTTTTTAAAAAATCCATTATAAAAACTTATAACATCTAAAATATAAGATAAATTTGATTTTGATCTTTTAATTTTAAAATTATTTTTTTTATGTGAAAAAATATTCTTTTATTTTGTTAGTGAATTTATCAAATAAAAATCACTTACTATTAAACCTATTGCACACAATCTCGTATCATTATTAATGAAAATATTACATCAAACATAATTCATATTACATAGTTGGCTCAATTTGTTACTTTTTGTTATGCTACTAGTGAGTAGTGATTATGGTGGACTAAAATAACTTTTATTTTAAATTACATGACTAAAAAAATCAAATTTAATTTTGAAGGAGCAAAAATAGTTTTACCTCATATTTAAATGACTAAAAATATATTTAACTATATAAACATAACTTTTACTATGACACTCTCTACCCTGTATATCATAAGTAATACAATAGATAAAATTAAATCAAAAGGGATCTATCATTATCCAAAATCATGTCGTCTAATAAGAGAGTATCATATTTTGATTAAACAATAATCAATAAAAGTTTCATACAAATAGAAATAACACTTGTCATAAAATCATAACAAAAAAAATAAAATTCTAGTTAAACCTCTATATCACATCCTATCAGAGCAAAATCTTAAAAGCAAGGTCTAGTTCTCAACACTGATATCATCAACACCATGTTGAATCTCACTTGCAACAACATCTAAAAAGAGCAAATACAAGAAACAAGGAGTGAAAAACATCTCACTCTAACTCACAACATAAAATGTAGCCAGATAACCAAACACACACAATAAGACTTAGTATAATTGATAATACAAAATACCTCCAAACAAACATCACGAATTTAACACAGATTCATTCACATGCATGATGCCATGGATACAAACTACAAAATGCTTATGCATGTGGCGCTAATAAAATCAAATCATGGTGTATTGCCTTAAGACAATACAAAAAGTAGCCTAAGAGATGTCGGTTCACACCTTCATCACACTAATACAACCAAGATCTCGTTAGGGTAGCTGTGTTGTGCAACTTCAGCCCCATGCACACAAT